TTAAATTATGCTAATTCATTCCTAATACAATACATCTTCTGTTGTGTAATATTACGGCACCCCGGTGATAATTTACGTGCTGGGTTTTTTTTTTATTTTTTGTATATATGGCAAAAGCTGGGGCATTTTTGTTATTCTCCCATTTTTAAATCTTTTTTTGGCAAATTTGACAGCTAAATAGGAGATTACCAATATCAGTACTAAATGCATCTAACTAAATATATATATTTACTGAGTACTAATAATTATTTGTCATGGTTTTCTTAGATAATAGTGACAACCATGTAATCTGTAAGCTAAAGTACGTTTCTCATCACCAAATTCTATTCTTCTGGCAAAATTATCGATTTATACGAGCAATCGAGAGAGGCTGAAAGGAAATTGAAGTCGACTACACATAGCTATGTCGCAAGCTTATCGACTGGCGACAGCAAAAGATCAAAGTGAAATATGCTATCATAATTGGCGGTTTGTTTGAACTTAGCGTGAAAATTTATGGTAATTTTGGCAGAAAAACTTTTTGCCCGTCTTGTATAGTTCATAACCAAAGACATCATTAACCAAACTTTCTAGTGACAAATTCACTAACGCGCGTTTGGCATGTATACACTATCCTACACCCTCATATGATCATGTTCAAGTGTACGTGCACGAATAAAAGCGCAGATGAATTAAGGGCCGAATAACATCGCATTTGGTGCTGCACACGCAACTGTGATATGAATTTCAGTAGAACGCCTGTAACTAGCCCCAGTGAACTCTGAAAATCCCCCCCATCTGAGGTAAAATTACGATTTCGGACAAGTAATACATTTGGTCTCTATTTCTCATGTTGAATAATTAATTACGTGCGCTTTATCGAGAAGGCTTTCTATTGTACTATCGCCACATTATCTTGCTTCTGATCATCCAAAATGTACCAATCCAGATTATAGGAGCTCTGAACATCACTGTTAATGTTCTTAACACCAAGTTTTAGCTCAAAAGGCAGTAATGCCAGTTTTTCTTCTGATATATTTTTCAAGCTTCGACGTAGGGCCTGCATAGAGAGGATCACTAGCGTTGACGCTTGGTATGTCATTGTGTAGCGGAAGACATCATTGTTTCTCTCCACGCCATTAGACCCACCAAACACGAAGATGTGATCGTTGTAAACTACAGTCGTATGAAAGTCGCGGGCGTCGGGTTGTAAACCTTCGTCGTTATAGTGGATCTGCCATTCTCCCGTGCGCAAATTCAGCTCGCTCAGTTCGTTCTGTCGTGAGCCGGTGTCATCGCGTCCTCCAAACATTAAAAGTCGATAAGGATCCCTTGAAAGCTGTGAAATTGTGTGTGCAATGCGAGACTTCGGAATGTCACCGCCGCATTCTACTTCATGCCATTCAAGCGTGTCCACATCAAGATAGTAGGTATCGATAGGACCCTTGGGAGGGTCATAAAGACCCCCACCGACAACGTACATGCGATTTCCAACTATAGCTACTTGATGCTTGTATCGTGGACTGGGGCGATTACCGTTAGTCTCCTCCTTTCTCCAAATCTTGGTAACTTCGTCAAAGACGTAGAGATCATTTACGTAGACGTGCCCAGAAGTCCCACCAAAAAGATACAACCTGTTGTTAATTGCACACATACTCTGTCCATATCCTGGTGGTGGCTGCTTGCCCTCCGTCTCAACTATCGTCCAGTTCTTTTCGCGAATATTAAATTGTAACAATTTCCCCATATTCGTTTGCCCCCAATGAGGCCCTGATCCCCCATAAAGATAAAATGAAGTCTTGTCGGTAGAAATGCACCAGGCGTGTGAAGCTCGACCATCTAAAAATTCTAAATATTATTGCAAGATCACTTTACGCGCTCTAGAATTATTTACGTACCGGGAGATATGCCGTTAGATGTTTCAATTTGTAACCAGTGATGGCGCACAAGGTCAAACGCGTAAATATCATTGTGGCAATTTCCATCATTGTAGCCGCCAAAAACATACATCATGTCGTCAACTGAGAACAGGTAGCATAAAACGTTAGACTAAAAGGTTACCAGGGTAGATTCGAATGCACCCGGCGCACCAACTAGAGATGAGTGCCCACTGCGTACTGGTGGACGGCGGCCAGACGTAGAAAGCTTGGTCCAATTCGATGGTGCGTTTACTGAGAAAACGAGAAAGTGAGAAAGTGATCAAATGGTTTCTACGACACATACAGACTTACTTGATACATCTTCTTCATAGGACAGCTCTGAGCCAAAACCGAGGCGACATGCAATGGGGGAGTTGACCCAGCGTGGGCTGCGCAGCAATTTAAATAGATCGTCGAGCATGTGCCTGAAAAAGTGTGACAAAAGACGTAGCGTAGAGGTGGAAGGTTTTGATGTGATGCCTCAGAAGGGCGTTTCCGCTCTATTTTGCCTCGTGCTAGGGCGTTTCCGCTCTATTTTGCCTCGTGCAAATTGTGCGTATCTTCCACCCGCAGAGTTATCTCACAACTATATGCATCGCACCCGCTCTCAAGCAGTTTTCTTCAAACAGCCGATATGATTATCTATTATTAGCTAACACTCAAATGTAAGAAAGTGGACGCTGCTGTGTGCGACAGAGCATGAATTCAACTTCGACAAAGCGTATGAGCAATGATATTATTGGAAGTCTGAAATATTTGCCCTTTTTACACAAGCAATAAGACTTGCGAGTGGACAGCATAACTGAATTTTGACGCTGTTTGGCAACTCCCTCATGTCCGCTTTTGCAGTGCTTGCGTGCATGTGTGCATGTACGTACTACCAGCACCTTTTGACGACGATGGAGCACACAATTTGGCGATGAGGGGTGGGTGGACTATCCAGTATAGTGCTGAATCATCAGAAAGACCCTCTGATGGTATGCCACCATCGAGATCCCTCTGGTATGCCGTCGTCGAGACGTCACCCGGATGATTTTTATACCTAACACTATAGCTTCAATAACTAGCGAAAATCAGATTAATTGACATTGGCTGACTCTAAAATTTTTATGGCTTGAGACGTAGATGTGAGATCGCAACCTAAATTTAAGTTTCATCCAAATGCTGTCAAAAATGTTAGACTACACAGCGCGTTAAGTTTATTCTTCTTGATTAGGCGATTAAAATTATAGTCTACAGGTTGCGGTTCTGCGCAGTGATGATTAATATTCTAATCAGGATGTATGCTTCGCATTAGTAGCATCACTGTTGAGGTAGATGAAAATTCTTGGTGAGGCTGGCAGGTTCGTAATACTGACATGAGCCTTATCGCTGAGTTTCCTATCTCATATTATTGGTACACCGGGTTGCCGCACATCTCGCACACAGGAAGCTCGGACTCTTACAAGTTGCAATGACTAACGAGGTTACCGGCCACCACCCAATGCTGAACAGAAATTGTACTAATTACAAAACAGTACAATTGCTTTTCACACTTGCTGTAATTTTGAATACTTAAAAGGATCGGAATATCGGGATTCATGAAGATTACAGAGCATCGATTAAGAGAAGACAATTTAAGTATGAGAAATATATGACAGCGTCTATTTTCTGAAACGAGTTTATTTTCGCTACTGATAGATCAGCGCAAACCATCCTCCATGCAGGCTTTGAGAGTCGATGCTTCCTCTGTGCAATGTGTTCGGCAATTCCGTTGCATCTGGTAAAACTAGCAGTCAATCCCATGACTGAGATAGACTTAAATTTTTGCGAGGACTGAATGCAAAACGTTCGGATATCTGTATCCGAAAAAGATAGATCAGCTTAGCACCTTTTGTTTATCATAAGTCCCGATGGGATCAAGGAAGTTGCTTTCAAAGGAGCTGGAAGAGTTTATCGCTCGCTTTGGAGTTCAACAGCTATGATTATGTGCTGGTCGATAACATCAAGAAAACCCCCAACCGGAATCCGGTGAGAGGACTCATAGCTTCCAAAGTAAGCTAGGCGTCGAGGGTTCAATGGCCGGAACGAAAAAAAATCTTCCACTGAGTCAGGAAAGGTGATATGGCCAAGAGATTGGGTACTTATGTGCAATACCTCGATAGAAGAGATGTTCTCAATGCGAGACGATTTGAAGTGACAGATGTCGTGATTGTTCTTACCGCCTAACATGTTCGTATCGGGTGCGTTTGAAATTTTTGTTTACCTATCAAAAGGAGCGAGAGCTTGGGCACTATGTCCAAGTGTGAGAAACTCTAGTAGCCGTAGTGGTGCATTTCTTACTCCAGTTGGCGGTTATGGACGCTATCGTCACGGAGGGTCTCCGAACAGGAGCGGTTCCCCCCGACACCTTTCACAACTACCCTTACCAGTTTGAGGAGACAGCGGACGTCTCATTAAACAAAGTGCACCGCTTCCTTGGCACGATAGAAGGGAGGGGTGCTTGAACGGAAGTTATAGTAGCGCAACAAGGGCGATGGACCACAGGAATGATGAGGAAGAAGAGAGAGATATCTTTGCTGCTGAATATCTCTACGTTATTATTTCATCGGCGGTTATGAAACTATATGCGCCTTCCGTGTCCGTATCGGTCTGTACTGAGAGTAGGAAGGTTTGGGCTTCCACGCAAGGACGGGCAACAACCTCTCAAGATAAAATGTCAAAATAGGCTTTCGGGAAAGCAATGAGTTGCAATACAGCGGGGCCGCCGTAGCTTTTTGCTTAAAGAAAGCTAAGCTAGGGTCACCGACCTTACGTTCCTTACAAGAACAAGTACGAGTGCAGCAAATCGGAATCTGCTGCCTCCAAGAGTACTTAAAACTCTAGCCAAGGTGAATGAAATCTTCAGCTCAAGATTGAAACAGTTTTCAATTGAATTAGTTGCGGCAGAGCCGCCAATATCTAAAACTCTAGGTTCTCCTAATATATATAGTAATACCTAATTAATATAGCAAAACCTGATTAATGTACATCCTGGTGTTCCTGCCACGTAGTGACTTCTTGTTTCAGTGTAGCCACACCACTGTGTGATTACACCACTGTGTGTCATTCACACCTATGTGCGGTCATCTTGTGCCACTCGCCCTTCATACAGTGGTGAGAGTAACCCCGTTAGATTCACTGTACCTCGGGAAGGTCGTATGTGTTAAAACCCAGCCATCACAAGCGACTCGATTTAAGAGAGGTGGGGCTCACAGATTAGAGTTGCTGGCTGATGGATTCAAACTTTGAGATTTGTGAACCTGTGAAAATTCCTGGAATATCTACAATCACGTATGACGCGCGACCGTCCAAATTAGTAGATAGCACTCGGAAGTAATTGAGGTGCCAAATATGGATTCAGTCTTGCCTTCAAACGGATTCAGGACACGTCTTGCTTGCAATCTTCAAATCAGGAGATCGTGTGCGAGGATTTGTGTTCTCATGCGACAGAGGCTTTTCGGCTCGGTATGATTTGAGTCGACAGAATTCGCTGGAGTTAGTTTGAAGTTCTTGTCAATGCATCAAGGGAGGTGTAAATTGGTGGACTATGTCAAGGCGTTAAGAGCTTTAATCCCCCTAATCCAACATAACTTCTACTGGAGGCGTTTGCCACCACCATCTTTATAAGGGTCATTGAATGGGTTCGGCTCACCCCGATAATTTTTTTCCGCATATACTACCTCTTTGTTGTGAGGATACGATGCGCGTTACAATAAATGCGGAGTACAACATCCGTGCACGAGGGCACGATTGAGATATATTGTAGCTTTTAAGCATTTCCACAGTACCCGCATTGCTTTATTTATAATCTGACCGAAAGCAGTGACTTGAGTGCGCCCTTCCCTGTCGGCTGAGTAACACGAAGATCTGGATTCTCAAGGTGGCCCGATGAAGCCATCGTGGGGGGCCAAATTTCATTAGGTGCAAAGCAGCGTACCAGCAAGAAGTTGGATTTATAGTTCATTGTGAGGGTTGTGATTGGGACTAAGCCTTAAAGTACGACTCTTTTTAAGGAGGTGGGGCTTACAAGCCAGGGTTGCTGTCTGATTTATATCAAGATCCGGGGCCGAGAAATGTCCTGATATAAGACGTTGTGCAATCACGCTCCAAAACGACGGTAAAAAAGAGTAAACAGTTTTTGGAGGCATTGAAGATGCCAAATATGGATGTGATCCGTCTTGCGATGTGGACACTAATAAAATCGTCGAGGATTTTTAATCCTTTAAGCGAAAAGTATGGATTCTGACAACATTGAGTATATCCTTGCCCTAGACCTACATTCAAGATATGTTCTCATTCAGAGTACAAAGTGATCTGGCTGGATCACTACGATCCACGCGTCGCGTGGAAGTAAAATATGCCTGATTTCTGCAGGTTTGGCAGGTTACTACCTCACCTCTATAAGCGACCAGATTTGCTTTTGGCACGTGCTAACCTTTCGCGCAAGTCATTGATTTTGTCAAAACTGATAGCAATGATATTGTTAGTAGCGTCGAGCAGAGCTTGGAAGGCCGAGGCAGCTGTGAGCCTAATCATACGATGGGCGATTATAAAGTGCGACATCCAAAGTGTATCTCATTTGGAACAAGAAGATACAAATTTATGTCAGCTCCATGGGTAGATAACTAGAAATTTATTTACTTGTGAATGGAGCGACCAATGATGTTTCGTGACTGATCTCCTATACAGCTGGATGAATATTTTTTCGAGGATCTTTGCAAAATTATGCAAGATGGTGGGACCACAGGGATGGTACTATTGCTACCAGTAGGAGATGTTCTCATCATTATCAAAGGATGAATCAGTCTTTGAGGGTACTTTTAGAACACTAAGTACGAGGAAAGAGTGATCTTTTCTTAGGTATTGTTACTGCATAATGACGAGAGATGATATCTCTGGATAAGGTTGAGTATCCTTATATTGATTTGGTTCTCGACCCAAATATTGCATCACACAATGCATAACAGTTAGCAAAAACGTCATGTGAATTATGGTCGCTTTTGTCCGAAGTAAGCACGAGATATGTTCAAGTGAAAAACAGTCTTCTCCCCACTTAGCGCCAACCTTTTGTGTTGGATAACCCAACAAAAAGTGGCGAGTTGTGTATACGCGTAAAAAAATTAAACGCGGCTGCAATTCTTTCGCAAAAGACCAATTAACAATGGAATTTTGCTGCAATACAGCGTAAGAGGTAGGACCATTTTTAGTGTCCACAACATGTGTGATGATTATGATCGACTGCTGATGAAAGGCAATAATACTTCGTGCTGTCGAGAGTTTGCTTGACCCCCAAAACCTCAACCAACCATGCTGAGTCCTTGTTGTCATGCCATTAACTATCACTGTCTAATTCACCGCCTAATCGTCTTACGACTAAACTGATCTGGACACATAGTGGCT